GAGTTCTCCACACTGCTTTCCATAGGGGTTGAACCAGTTTGCAGCCCCACACTCATATATTAGACTTTTTAAAAATGCTATCTCGAGCCGGGCGTGGTGGCGCACGCCTGTAGTCAACAGGGGGGGCTAAAAGGAGACCCTGCTTCAAAAAAAAAAAAAAAAAAAAAAAAAAGGAGTGGGAATGAATATGATCCAAATACATTGTACTAAATTCTCAAAGAATTAATAAAAAAAATTTAAAAAATGCTATCTCGTAGAGTTACCTTCCAATACTAGCAATAGCATGCTGGTGTGACTCTAAGTTCTAATCTGCCTTTTACCTCTCTGAGCTTCAGTTCAACTTCTTTTTCTCCTGTCCAATTAGGGCATTAACTCGCTTTGGCTGTACCTAATATATCCGCCCCCACATTTTAAAAAGTTTGTGTGTGAAGATGTGTTCATATGTGTGTACATGTGTGTGGAAGGCAGAGGTCAACCTTGGATGCTGTTCCTCAGAAGCCATCCACCTTGTTTTCTGAGACAGGATCTTTCACTGGAACCCAGAGCTCACTCCTTAGGCTAGTCTGTCTGGCCAGCAAGCCCTAGAGGTACTCTTGTCTTTGCCTCCTCAGCACTGGGATTACAAGTGCATAGCCACCACACCCAGTTTTTTTACATTGAGTGCTGCAGAGAGAAACTCAAGTCCACTTGCTTATATGGCAGGCAGTTTACCAACTAAGCTATCTCTCTACTTCCTCCACCCCAAACTTTTTTAACCTAAAACAACTGCCACTATTCTCCTGTTCACAATTCTGTAATTGATGTAAGGTTCTAGCGACCTTTCTGTTGCTGTGATAAAACACTCTCACTAAAAGCAGTTTAGGACAGGAAGAGGTTTATTTGGCCTATACTTGCAGGTCACAGTCCATCACTGAAGGAAGTCAGGGCAAGACGTTAGAGCAGAAAACTATGGAGGAATACTGCTTGCTGTATCACTCATATGCTCATTCTTAGTTAGCTTTCTTATATAGCCCAGGTCCAGCTGCCTAGGGATGGTTATGCCCACAGTGGGCTGGGCTCACCTACATCAGTTAACAATCAAGACAATCCCCCACAGGCATTCCCACAGGCCAATCTGATCTAGGAAATCCTTCAAACGAGATTCTCTTAGGTGACTCTAGGCTATGTCAAGTTGACAGTTAAGGCTAACTAGGGCACTATCTTTCTCCATCTGCCCCATTCTCTACATATACCAGCAAAGTATTTGTAATTCCTGACATGATGGGTTGGGACTCAAATGACGAAAATAAAAGCTACTAGGCCTCTAAATGCTTGAGCCAGAACTATTAAAATATCATCTTCTTCACATCCTTCACTCCATATCTCCCTTGAGAGACCCTAAGTCAGGTATCCTAGCCTCCCCAGGATCCTGTACCATTACTTCTAGTGGCATAGTTTCACTTCCTGCACCATTCTCCTTGCTCTCTGTGGTCCTACGTCTCTAGAAAATGACTGGTGTACATCAGTATTTGACATATTTGCTGAATAAATGAAGGAATGAATGCTAATATTGACCTAATACTTTCTTCAGCAGCATACACACTAACATTAAAACAATACTAGCAAAAATGGTAGGCAAATCTATATTCTTTACATCTTTAACATCTTGTACATCTTGAATCTTCACTGTACTCCCCATCCCCCACCCTTCCCCAGTAGCAACTAATTTGTTAAACTTAACCAGTTTCCTTCCCAGTCTGGGACAGGATAGTGAAGGGGTAAGAATGCAAATGACCTCCTTGGAAATAGTTAAGTTCATAGTCTCAGAATTCCCAGGAAATGCAACAGTATCAGGCATCTCAAGCACTGTCTTCTGAAATATGAACATGTCTCCAACACTATTATGAGAGTGTTTTCAGCTTCTCTACTGCTGACCTCAATAACGTTGCTGCCGTTACCCATCCCCACACTGGCAATGCTGTCTGGACCAAACTTTTGATCTCTAGCCTCTCCCATTATAACCCGTGTAGACTTTATGGTGCCTTTTGTCTGTCTAAAACCACACACTCAATGTAGGAGTTCTCTTACAAGTACTATGCTATGTGACTCTTTTCCCACCTCTCTTTTGGTTATTTTCCCCCCTCACCATGTTAACAACAAAGATAACAATAGCAATTAATGAACCCTTCATTGTCTAAATACTGTGTGTGTGTATGTGTATTTATATCATACAGAATTTTAGACAAAGGAATAGATTTCAGGCAATTGGAATGAATTAGGGGCAAGATGTGAAGAAACTATTGGAATTTTATTTGAATGGTGACTTAAGATATGAAAGGTGAAAACACATCAACAAAGTATGTGGATGTAAAGAAGTGATAAAAAAATTACAAAAAAATACATCAAGCAGCCAAAGGTAGGGAGAAGTATTAGCCACAGGGATTTGAGAATACTGAATACTGAGAAATTTTTAAAAAATGATCAAAGGATGTTGATACTATTACCATTTTAATGGATTTCCCTCCATGTTTTAGAAATAAGATTAATGTGTTTTTCCTGTTGCTGGTTTGAGATATGGCCTCATGTAGCCCAGCTTGGACTCCAACTCATTTTGGAGGTTGGCCTTGAACTATTCCTCCTGCCTCTGCCTCCCAAGCACTGATAGAGGAAACAGACCAGCTCCTGGGGCCCCACTGACTAAAAAATTGCATCATATTTTTTGTATGATCTTAATGATATCTCTAAAGGTTTACATATTATCTCCTAACTAGTTGAATAGAGCATTTTTGTGGAAAAACCACACTACTGGTCCTTTGTTATAGAGAAACCAATCTGATCTTCAGTGAAAACCACTGGGATCCCCAGCCACAACATGCTGACAAGGTGGTCGGTAGCCAACCTGGCTGTGGAGACAGATAGGCTCTTATCCAGACACATTAGGAAACTCTTGATGATCAGCCAGAAACAGCCCATGAAATTCCATGTGACTGTTATTAAGTCTGGCTTGGTTAGGGCACAAGAGTCAGGCAAATGATACATGCTGAGTACTAAGGCCAAGCTGAATTGAAAACAGGAAACCAAAGCCTAGACTGGGAGAAATGTCCACCTTCTCAAAATAACCAAACTCTATTAATTACCCCCCCCCTTTAGTCTGCCTCTAACCTCTTGGCAAGCTGCTTCTCCCCTTCACAAATTTGGATTTGTCTAATCTTTAAAGTTAGCCAAACATCACAACAGAACAGCTCTCGTTCCTTTCTTGCTGCTTTTTCTCCACTGTTGGGAATGAATTGCCTGCACTTCCTGCCTACACATTTCCACCTCTGACTCATGTCCAGTCACCACTGTGGTTTCTTTCCACTAAACAGTTCCCCCACACAGTCACCAATGACCTCCCAGTCACCACATTCCATGGACCCATCTCCTTTAGTAGCTTACTTGTCCCTGCCGTATCTACCTAGGTGGCTCCTTTCTTCTAGAAATGCTTTAACTCACCGGCTTCTATGATAGTGCTTTTTTCTTCTACTTTACTCTTAAATTTTGGTGTTACCTGTCTCCAAACTTGGCTTCTCTTGTTCTACAGTCTCCTGGGCTACATGGCTTCGATCACCACTTGAATATTGGTATCACTTGAAATAATCTCTTACATTCTGCCTTGATCAGAAGCCCACTAAATATGACCCATGGAAATCTTAACATACAAAACTCACTCAAGACCTTGTCTACAAACCTGCCTATGCTTCAGAGAATTCCTCTTTTCTGAGTGAGGAAAATCCTGTTGCTTAATCCAGAAACCAAGGAACCATATTTTAGTCCCTACTTCCTTCCTACTTGCAACCCAGTGAATCAGGAAGATGTTCCGGTCCGTATCATCTCATTCCTGGTGAAAGCCCAATGGGGGTTCCTGGATCTAGCTTCTCATCCTCAAATTCACCTCCACACTGGCCTCCAGAGTACTTGTCTAAGCCCCAAATTACCATCATGTTACTTCCCAACTTAACTTCCTTCCACAGCTTCCAAACCGAGACTTCCCTGACCTCAGTTCTGTCCCTTCCCCATAACCATGTCATGCCTACAAGAGAGATTGGACCATTCCAGCTTTGGCCAGCTAGGGGTTTGGCAGCTAATCAAGAGATTTGGCCTTGACAAAGGATCTAGGTACCACGCTACAGTACCTATGATGGGCATGACATAATTTCTAGAAGACATTATCAGACCATCACAGCCAAGGCAAAAGACCTAGACTAATTTTGTAGTGGAAAAGAGGAAAAGGTGAGCCTATAGGAAAAGCAAGAGAACAAGGAGTAAAGGCAGGGCGAATCACAAGATGCAAATAGCAAGGAAATGCATGGGTAAAGAAAAGGCCAAGCACCATGAACAAAGTAAACAATCCACAGTCTACAGACTTTACAGCCCCATTATTGGAAGCCCACAACCACAAGCCTCCATTAAATACACAACTCTATAAGGCAATCGAGGGTAGCAGATGCTTGAAAAACTACCTTTTAGAGCGGTAATAAAGAAGGAAAAAGGTAGCCCTCAAACTAGAACTGTCCTTCAAACAAGGTGCAGGCCACAGCAGCATCAGTGGACTTCTCAAAGAAGTTAGGTTCAGGGTGATGCAAGATGCAGCATTCATTCATTTGGGGAGACCTAGAAAAGACTGGATTGTTCTATTTAGCTCTACAGGAGAATGGTATGAAGATTCTCTAAAAAAATATCTTTGAGAGCAGTCAACTGAATTCCGAGTCAAACAACAGTGAATGCAAACGTTATTTTAAACCTATTGAGCTGTATATAGCAATCACCAGATACAGTTGTCCAAAATATACCCAGAATTAAAAACAAGTGCCCTGTCAGGGTAAGTCGTTTTCTCCAAAACTGTTGGCCTATGCAAATCCCACACAGAGGGGTCTTAGGCTATGGACTGCGGACTCCTGTACGTCCATGTTCGAAGCCCGACTGTGCCAGGAGGCAGACCTCTCATCAGCCTGCCCTAGGTAAGTCACAGGGCACTGTTAAGGCAGAACTGGGGCAAGAACCCAACTAGAGGTCGCCTTGCTCATTCCAGCAACCCAGGGAACAGACAGTGGGTCCCCTCCCGCGCCTATCCCCCAGGCCTGGGGAGCCTCTGTCCCCCACTCACCAGAGAGCACCCGTGGAAGTGGCTGGAGTGGGGGGAGGGTAGTGGAGCGAAGGGGGGTGCAATCCGCGGAAGGTGGGCGAGGACTGGGGGCCGCAGGCAGGAGGGAATAGGGGCGGCTGGGTGGTGATTGGCTGGGCTGCGCCAAGCAGCTCAGGGCTAAGAACAAAAGAGAGCAGGCGGCGGGTGTCCTCGGAGTAGGGGCTCCCACCCGCCAGGTACGGGCTTCGCTGCTGCGGGAGGACGCGCCCACCGCCAGCCCGCGGAGCAAGCCGGGCGGCGCGCGCGGTTTCTCCGCGAAAGCCGGCCGTGTACCTAGGAATTAACCGGCCGGCGTGCGAGGGAGGGAAGCGAGGAGGAGGGGGGTGGGGATGCTGAGCGCGCGCGAGAACAATAATAAGATCGTGTTTGCGGTCGCTGCCCGAGGAGGAATTCGGAGGAGGCGCGAGGCCCGGCGCTCGCGCGGTGCCCGGCAGCTCGGCAGGGAGGTGGCGGCGGCTGCGGCGGCGGCGACATGAGGCTGGAGATGCGGCGCCTGTGAGCAGCGTACGGCGGGAGCAGCGGCGGCGGGACTTGGCGGCCGGACGCGAGTGAGCGAGCGCCCAGCGTCCCGCGCTCCCCTCCCCCGCTGCCGGGCGGGGATCTGCGGGGCCTGAGGCGCCCCCCGCCCACCGCTCGTCTCAGCCGCTGCTGCGCCGCTTCCCCCCTCGTCGGAGCGGCCACCCGTGCGCCCGGCTCGTGGCCCACGGGGAGCGCGGCGAGGTCCGTCGGCCCGCCGGGGCACGGCCTCCCGGCATCTTCGCGGCGACCAAGGACGAGCGGGAAGGGTAACGGCCGGGATGGCGCGTCCGCGGCCCCGCGAGTACAAAGCGGGAGACCTGGTCTTCGCCAAGATGAAGGGCTATCCGCACTGGCCCGCCCGGGTGAGTACGGCGGCCGCGCGCGCGGGCCCGCCCGCCCACCATTTTCCCTTCATGATGGCGCGCCCGCCCCCTGTCCCCATCACCTCCGCGCGGCCGGGGGCTGAGGCGCGAGCGGCGCTGTGCACAGGACCCGGGTCGGGGCGGAGGCGAGCGTTCCGGGCCGCGTTCTCGCCCGCTAGGCGGCCATCCTGTCGCCCACTTTCGAAGGCGGGTCCGGCCCGACAGGCCCGACGCCTTCCGCCGGGTCCTTACCGGGAAGCCACGCTGGGGAGCGGGCTCGGGTGGAGGCGTCGGCTCCTGGCAGGTCCCAGGCGAACGTCGAGGCAGGTAGGAGAGCGAGAGCAAATGGCTGTCCCCCAGCCTCTAGAGCCGGTGGCCGTCAGGCCTGGAAGGGCTTAGGGGTGCGCAGAGGCACCGGGAGCCGCGTGGCAGCATCCATCCATTTCTCAGCGCATCCTGCGCCTTCCAGACTTGTTGAGTTTTGCTGAGCGCGATTCCCGGAGCCCAGCCCGCCCTCATTGTCCAGGGTATGTGCTTCGCGGTGGCCCTCGTTCTTAGTCTGTCACTGACTTGTGAGTCCGAGAAGGTCTTGTGCCTTTTCACCTCCATATTTGTATTAGGTCGGATCCCCAACCTGATTCTTGGCCTCGCACTACAACCCACAATAGCCCTCTTCCTGAATAGCAAGACTGTCGCTGGGCTTTCTCTAGAAAGCATCTGCATTAATACATGACATTCAGGATTTTTATTGAGCTGTTCTGAGTGAGGAAGAAAACACCATCACCGTGTGTGTATCCTTTACGTTTTAAAAAGAAATCACTTTCATCTTTAATTTGGTAATAGCAACTGACAGCCTGAATATTTAAAAAGGAGAATCAAGGCATTCTGGAGATGATGTTGGTATCCTTGAGGAAGAAAAGGGCAAAGGGAAAAAAACTGACATCAATTTAGTGTGAGCTCTCAGTGTTGTAATTAAGTGAAGATAGCAAGTCAAAGGGGAAAAATATACTCATTCACAAAAGGAAGTGACATCATGAGTGGCAGACTGAAATTTAGTGAAGTTGTGGTGATGGACGGAAATAATCACTTTTTAAATGTTTGTTTTGGCATGGTCTTAAAATGGAAAGGACACTGGTCCAGGAATTTGGGGGATCTGGTATGTGGGTCAGGCTCTGTTATGGACTAATCATTTCAACTGCCTGTACTTCCATTTCTGCAATTATAAAATAATCATCTCTAGGATTCCTTCCAACACTAACAACCTTAGGGCATCAAGAGGAAAAAACAGTCATATTCAGATTCCATTAAGCTGTGAAATAAGTTCTTCATATCTGAACTTTAGGTTCTTAAATAAGGCAAAGTTTTCAAAGTAGAATTACCTTTCTTTAATCCTATATAAAATAGTAGATAATACTTAGTTGGGGCAAGATTTGGGACTTAAGGAGTTCTTAGAGAATCCCTGTATATTTGTCAAGTAAGAAATATACAGCTGGGGCTGGAGAGATGGTTCAGCGGTTAAGAACACTGGTTGTTCTTGGAGAAGACCTGGGTTTGAATCCCAGCACCTACATGGCAGCTGATTGCTCTTGTAGAGGACCTGGGTTTTGTTCCCAGCACCCACATGGCTAACAATCATGTGTAACTTCAGTTCTGGGGGAATTCGATGCTCTCTTCTGACCTCCTTGGGCATTGCAGAACACAGGTGCACTTACACACATGCAGGCAATGCATGCATACACATAAAATAAAAATAATAAATAAAAATTTTTAAAAAGAAGTATACAGCTTTAGGATGCTGTATATACATATATCCATACTCAAAAGTGAGTTAAGGGTTATCATGGTCATTCCTTGTAGTTTTGCTTTGAAAAGTATCTTCTATGAGTCAAAAAGAAAGTAGACTTAAAATTTCCTTCATATATTGTTCCCACAGGTTGGCCACCTGTGGTTAATTTATGAAACAAAAGTGCTACAGAAATGTTTGTTGTATATCAAGTTGTACATAAAATCTCTGGAAATTCATTAGGTTTTTAGATTTAAAAGGTACAGGAAAGAAAAAAATTGTACGTATTTACTTCTCTAGGAAAAGTTCTAAGACCTTTTAAAAATATTTTATAATAAGTAACATTTTGCAATTTTCCAAGGAAAGTTTATTTGAAGAAAAAGGCATTTTGAAGCTCTACTCTTTATTACATGTGCTTCCCATATGTTCTAATTTTTGTCTGAATGTTATGTGGCATTATCCTCATTTTACACCTAGTTACAATTTTATCAGTTATATCTTTTAAAGGAATTTCATTCACATTTCAGATACTTTGACCTGATATGAAGGCCAGTTGTGTGGGGATTAGATTATATGTGACCCTGAAGAACCAAACCTAGGAGGTTAAAACACGGGAAGGTAGATTTCAGTTCATACTGTAGTAAGGGGCTTTTGAAAATTAGCTGGTCCATGTAGGAATGGAAAAACAGTTTCCTTGATGTAAGGAAAATGTTTGGTCCAGGGCAGCTCCTTGTGAGGAATGTGGGTCAAGAAGATGCAGAATTTGGAAAAACTGGGATGCAGCTCTTGGCTGGGCTTCACACATGGTGACTCTGGATGTATTCTGTAATCTTCCTGAACTTCAATTCAGTAGTCTATAAAACAAGGATAATTCTCACTGCATTAAGAGTATAGCAGTGCCCTTTGCAGTTTCGCTTTCCGTGGTCCAAAAATACATTGCAGAAGTCATAAGGTGTTTGGAGAGAAAGGGAAAGACTATATCCAAATAACTTTTATTACAGTATATTGTTTTAATTGTTCTAATTTATTGTTGCTAATACCTTTTCCTAATTTATAAATTGAGCTTTTTTTTTTTTTTTTTTTTGAGGCAGGGTCTCCCTGTAGCCCCAGCTATCCTGGAACTCACTATGTAAACCAGGCTGGCCTTGAACTCACAGAGATCTGCCTGCCTCTGCCTCCAGAGTGCTGGGACACCACACCCGGCATAAATTGAGCTTTTTAATAGTTATGTTTGTATTTCAAGAAGAAAAGTGTTTATCGGATTTGTTACTAGCCTCAGTTTCAGACATCCACTGTGGATTTTGAAACATGTACCCTGTTAAGGGAGGACTACTTCATCCCAAAGCAATGTTGCTTAAATGTTCCTACCTTTCTCATTTTTGAATTTCCAACTTGTATCTCTATGCTATTTTTAACTTTTGTCAGTTTTCAGCTCTTTAGATGACATATTCGGTTTCTGAAGATTTTATCTTGAAAAATTGGAAACAGAAAAGTTGAATTATACACTATGTGTCACCTAGATTTTATAAATTGTACTATGCTCTATCACATACCTATTCATATGCCAATCCCTCTATCCATACAGTAGTCTATCTTATTTTAATATATTTCAAAGTCAGTTGCAGACATTACTATAATTTACTCTAGTTAATGCATACCATTAACTAGAGGCCAATGTTTTTTATAGATCTCTTTTTTCCTTATGAGGTAAAATTTGCATAGATTAACACTTAAATGTACATTTACTAAATTTGATTAATATATACACTGATATATTACAAATAGCTACCAAAATATAGACTAGTACCAGTAACCAGGCAGTTTCTCTCATGCCTCTAACTGGAGGATTCCTGTCTTCTTCCCTTCTCCACTGCTGTTCATGTGTGTTATTTTAACATTAAATAGAAGCTAGGTATTTCTGTGGAACATTATGTATAGCTTTAAAAATTAGAGGTTTATGTATGCAAAAGGATTAGGTAGCTTAATACTAAATAAATAAATATAGAAGATAGATAGATAGATAGATAGATAGATAGATAGATAGATAGATAAACACAAGAGTTTCTGTACTCTTGATTGTGTATCCTATTGGTAAAATCTGGTTGTGCATCCTTAATATGCATAAATTTATTTTAAAATTGTGTATAACTGTTTGTGCTATGATTGTGTGCATTATAAAATAAAAACCAAAATGATCCAAAAAGGATAGCATGAGGTAAGAATGTTTCATGATTCAAATTTTTTATTAGCAAAATATTATCAATAGTAAGTCTATTTTTTAATTTTTAAAAAAGATTTTGGTTTATTTTATGTGTATGAATGTTTGCCTGCATGTATGTAGGTACACCATGTATGTGTAGTGCCCTCGGAGACAAGAAAGAGGGCATTGGATCCCCAGGTACTCGAGTTAACAGTGGTCGTTAGTTCTCCTGTGGGTGTGGGCAATAAATCTGGGTCCCCTGGAAGAGCTGTCAGTGCTCTTAACTGCTGAACCATCTCTCCAGCCCCCATATTTTTCAGTCTTAATTTTTGGAATATTTTTTACCTTTTCCTTATGGGACCTGATTGATCAGATGGTCATAATTTTTAATCTTCTAAAGAGTTTTTTAAACTGAACATGACAATTGAGCCATTTTTCTCATTGTTTGCTTATACTCAGTATTATTTGGTTAGGACTCTTAGCCATTTGTCTGTTTGCTGAGAGCTAGTTGAATTAGATAGATATTCATTCCATAATTCTGTTCAGTCAAACTAATACAAATGACTGTAAATCACAGTAAGCCCAAGGTAAATAAACTACCTGAATAAGAGCATTAGTACCAATTTGTATATTAAATAATAGTGAAATTTCTTTCTTAGCTAAAAGAATAAAAAACTAAAATAGAAACTCTTGATTTCTTCCTATACTCTCTAAAATCACCTTGTGTGTGTCCTTAGTTATGAGCACTTTGTGTTATCAGGTATAAAGAATAACTTTTGTGCTTCAGCCTCAGAGATTTTTTTTCTTTTTTTTTTTTTGGTCTTTTTGAGACAGGGTCTTCCTGTAGCCCCAGCTGGCCTGGAGCTCACTGTGTAAACCAGGCTGGCCCTGAACTCACTTCCTGTCTCTGCCTCCTGAGTGCTGGAGGTGAAAACCTCCTAAGAGGTTTTTTATGTTTAGAACTTTGTATGAGGAACTAAGGGTGTGGCTCATTGATAAAGCATGTATTTACATGCG